ACCCCTTGAGATGTTTACCATGATTATCCACATTTATGATTAAACAGAGATACAGATAGATTAAGGGATTTGCCCAAAGGTGCAAAGCTAGTAAGTGGTAGTATCAGGACTCAAATGTAGTCAGTGTGACTGTGAGGCCTGCACTCAGCTTCTACACCATGCCTCTTCCTTGTGCAACCATCACTAGCAAACATATTCAAAGCATACTCATTTTCCCTAATAGAAACTCTGTTCCCATTAAATTCTACTCCCCATTCCCCCCAGTCCCTGGAAATCACCATTGTACTCTGTCTCCATGAATTTTATTACTTATTTCATATATAAGTGGAATTATATAATATTTTTCCTTTTATGATGGCTTATTTTATTAAGCAGCATAGTGCATTCAAGGTTAATCCAGGTCAAAGAATGTTTCCGAATTTCCCTCCTTTTTAAAACTAACTAATACTTCATTATACAGAAAGCCAAAGATATTTGAGATGACACTCATATACCCTGTCCATTCCACCTCTATTTTTGATATTGGTTCAATTTTTGCAAGTTTACTTATAGTAGACTGCAAGTTTGGGTTTAGAGCAGGCAGGCTTGGGTTTGAATCTCAGACCTGCACTTATTAACTGTAACCAAAGGGAAATCACTCTGCTCTTAAGTTACCTCAACTATAAACTGAGATAGTACCTTAAGTGTCAGGGAATAGGTTGTTCAACTTCCATTCCACTCAAACTCCCTTACAACATGCCTATCTAACAAAGACAGGTTTCCCAAACTCCTTTTCAGTGGGGTTTCACATCTGGCCTGATTCTTCAAGGGAGTTTATAAAGCCCTTAAGGAGACTTGGGAGGTGAAGGCACCATTGAAGGTGACATGGGAGGTGAAGTAGGTGAAATAGGTGGTGTAAAGGCTTTGAGAAGACATTGTGTCTTCTTGTAAGCACTGTAGTAGATGTGACTGGTATTTTGGGAGTCATGGATGTGGAGTTTCAGTGTTTGATCCTGAGCATCTGTGGAGATGGCAGAAGATGTGTGGTTCCCCCAGGGTAGTCCTAAGTTCTGAATAAATTTCTCCTGGTTATGTTCCTGAAAGTGTAGAATGCAAACTTATTTCCATGGCTCCCCCCCCCCCAAATTCTTAAGCTTCCAAATATCCTATACTAATTTTGTTTTGTTTAAGCTAGTGGTAAGAGTGGATTCCATTGTCTGCAATTCAAAGACTAACCTAGGATTTTGGGGAAAAGTTGATATATGTAACTAGCACAGAATTTCACATACACTGTGACACAGATTTTTATTGTTTTTAAAAATATTTTAAAAATTTTCAGTGGGACTTTTATTTATGTATTTATAGTGCTGAGAATCGAACCCAGTGCCTCACACATGCTAGGCAAGCTCTGTGCCACTGAGCCTCAATCCTGGCCCATCAAAATTATCATTATTATTTAAAATTTTATCAAAGTATTATAATTATACATAACAGAGGATTCATCATGATATATTTGTACATGCACTTGGTATAAATTGGTCTACTTCATGCCTCCATTCCTCCCATTGCTCTCCACTTCTCCTTTCCCATTCCCTTTCTCTACACCACTGCTCTCTATTCTATTTTCATGAGGTCTCTTTCCCTTCCTTTTCCCTCTCTAGCTTCCCTATATGAGAGAAAACATACAAACACTGATTTTCCAAGCCTGACATATCACACTTAACATGGTGTTCCATCCAGGTGCATCCATTTTCCTGCAAAAGACATAATCTCATTCTTTTTTTATGGCTGAATAAAACTCCATGGAAGCCACATTATGATTTTTATGTGTATCAGTTGCCATAATAAATTAGAAACAAGCATCCTGGTTTGCTTAAGGGTTTTCTGATCTTTTTAAAAATTATATCTTGATTCTGTAACTCTTTGATGTATGGATTACAGAGTAGAGCTCTTAGCTTTGTACATTGTTGGAATTGACAGTAGAACATTAAATATTAAACTAAGAAGTCTGTACTCTTTCAAATGGGAGAGATCCAGGAGGAAAGAAAACATCCTTATGATTTTTACTTAAGTTCTAGAATTGTCTTAACCTCAGTTAATAGGGTTTATAACATACCAGATACTGTTTGGAGCTGAGGCTTTAAAGAGTTTTTGATAATGATTTAGAAGTTTTGGATTTTGGGGGAAAGTTTTAGTGGAGAGTAGTATTAGAAACTACATCTGAGTGTTGGGTGTGCTTGTTGGCAAAAGGCTGTGATCACTTCTGTGTCCTTCCAGTGACAGAACTAAGTTGGTGTTTATGATTACGCCAATTCATTTTGCATGCATATCTGTATTGTTATCTTTCCAAATGCATCCACATTAACCTAACCATGAGTTCAAACTGATGTCATGACTAATCCATGACCACATGATTTATTCTATCCTTTTCCCCTTGCTTGTTTAAAATCTCCAATAGTTAGAAACATGTCTCCCACTATCTGCCATCAACTTCCTTGTTTGTTCCTGTCCAGTAGATAGGTAAAACCGTTTCAGAATTGTTAACCTATACCCTGTGAGAAATAGTTTTACCAAATAGAGCACAATGCTCATGTTGTTCCTTTAATCTTAAGTTCTACAGTTTCTAGACAAAACACTATTTTCCAGGTTAGTTAGATCATTCTTTTCCTTCTATTCCTTCAATGAGGCTATGTCACACATTTGTAATACGATCAGAGTATTTGGTCACAGTCTGTGTTCCATCTCGTATCCCATGACGACTACTACTATTACTACTACTTCTCCTCCTCCTCCTCCTCCTCCTCCTCCTTCTTCTTCTTTTTTGAGATACTTGGATGATTTAAAAAATTTGTCTACACTGAGATTTGGTCTGTGATGTAAAGCTGTATGCATTTGATAGTGTTGTATGTTCATTATAATAGTACAATTCTGGTTAGTTCTTCCACCCTTAAAAACCCTCATAATTTTTGAGAGTTCCCAGGGCATTCGCTCCAGAATGTTAACTCAGCTTAATCTTTGGTAGAAAAAAACAAACAAACAAAAAAACAAAACCTAATCTGTGAGTTAGTTCTTTTCAGGCAATGCTTTTCAATCCTGGGTGCCCCCTGGAATTTCTGGACATCTTTTAAAAATACTTAGACCTGATTCTACCTTCAGATCCTGATTTAATGGGTCCCACCTAGTTTAATTGGTTTGGTATGTGAGTCTGGGCATTGGAACTTTGAAAAACTCCCCAGATGCTCATGGTGGTAAGCTACGGTTTAGAACTACTACTCTTGAGTTCTTCCATATCTTGTTTGATCCAAATGCCTTTTGATCAAAAACACCAATGATTGTTACATTTACATGACTTTGGGAAATGGTATGAAATGTCATCTAAATTTTGTGAATAAGTAACACAGCAAGGGTGGATTTCATACACTAAATAATCATGTACACAAAACACATTATTTATTCTTTACTCTCTGAGCTCAAAATGAACCTCTATTTCTACTGATGAGGGCAACTGAATTTTGATAAGTCAAAGTGATTTAATTACTTCAATTTAAAACTCACTTCTCATATTGAATTTAGTTTGGCCCTCTCTCCTTCTCTGTTCATTTTTTTCCTTGGAACAATCTATGTTTGAGTTCAGATATTAGGGGAGGCATATCTGGTAGAAGCAGGCCTTTTTACTGTTATTTTCTGTTTGATCAACCGGGGCAGTACCAGGTGATTTTCTCTGAGGGCATCTAGTCATGTTCCAGACTGGATTAGTCATCACCTTTACAGATTTGGGTGCTGTGAATCCTCTGAGATCCAGCTGTCTTCTCAGTCTCTAGCTTATAATCACTACCCAAGTATCTGTTTTGGGGTCCCATGGCAACTCTGATATGCCACCTGCCTTAACTTTTTGTATTTCTCCTGTGCCCCTCTCCAGGTGACATGGAAATCTTGCAGACTTTCTCCACACCCCTTGATAACTGAGAGAGACTATGCTTGGATATGCCCCAGAACCATTGCTACCCTACTGTAGCTGGTCCCCTCTAAGAATTCTCAATAGGAGGCAGGGCCACAAATCCTTTTTTTTGGGAACCCCAAGTCTATCTAAGGTTTGCTTTACATTTCCTGGTACTTTAACTTCCAAGAAACCCCAAATAGCTAAGACTTATCTTACATGGAAACTCTCATTCTCCTCTCTCAGTTCCTACCCACTATACAAAGAGGGAATGGTGAGGAAACTGAGTCATGTTATTACTCTTTCATCATAAAACCTAGACTTTCTGTCCTCCAGAGTTACTAATGATATGCAGTCCCAATATTTTAGGATTAAAAAGCCAAAAGGAGAACAATACTTTTGTCTCTCCAGAGTCAGATTCTCTTCAAATAATAGGCTTGGGCTTTCAGTCTGTTACTTCTTTGTGTATTTCCTAAAAATGCACTCTGATATTCAGACTACTGTGTTCTGAGCTATTATTTGCTTTATGTTCCAAAGCAGCAAAAGGCACTGACTAAATTGGCAAAGAACTTGACACAAGAAAAAAAAAGAGGCAAAGAAAAATCTCCACTGATGTCCCCAAGTAGCATCTCTTTATCTTCATGTCACATTGTGATATGGATCTGATGCTCAAAGTAAATCTCAGTCTGTAGTTGGATGGATTTGGAAGGCAAAATTAGTTTCATGCAAGTGGTAACAATAAAGCCAAATAAGATGTATCTATGTTTAAAAATCCATAGATCTTTCCTCACATATAATAGAAAAAGTTGAACATATATTTGAGGCTTGGACCAAATGCAATCAAGACCTCAGAAAGCAAACATGGAATATCAATATCTATTCTGTATATATTCCAAAATTTCACAAAGTTAACAGTTGGAGATCAGTGTCCAGAGGGACTTTAGTCAAAGTTTATTGAGATTAAAAAAAAAAAAAAAGGACTCAAAACAATTAAGAATGAAAATCCACTGGAAAACCAGATTATCAACTCTGTGTTTAGATTCAAAGACAAGTAATCACAGATTGTCTTTCATTTTGTCCTCAGCTGGAAAGGCAGCTAACGTTGCAGAATGAAATGAGGGAAAGACAAATGGCCATGCAGGTTGCTTGGTCTCGGGAATTCCTCAAATATTTTGGAACATTTTATGGCATTTCAACCATCTTTTTAACAGCTGGGTATGTTTTCTATTTACTTTAACATTTTTTTTAAAAATAATCTACTTCTTTTGTCTTTAATCACATTAATTTGGCAAAAATAGGACTTTGGTCCAAACAGTGTACATGTAAACAAAAAAACCTCTTATTGATTAATCCTTGGTAGTAACTCTGTAGAACCAGCCTAATAATAGTAAATCCTGCCTTTAGTTCCTTAGATTTCATCTGTCCTTTTCTCCACTTTGTAAATTAGGGAGAGGACTGACTTGACACCAAGATAGGGGGCCTTTGTGGGTTTATCTCTGCTCTTAATCTTCATCCATTTTAAAAACAGGAATTTGAGTGTCAAAGTCAAATAAAAATGAGCAGCTGATGGTGCATACCTGTAATTCCAGTGGCTCAAGAGGCTGAGACAGGAGGATTGCAAGTTCAAAGCCAGCCTTAGCAACTTAGCGAGACTCTAAGCAATCTAGCAAGACCCTGTCTCAATAATTAAAACAAACAAACAAAAAACAGGATGGGGATGTGGCTCAGTGGTTAATTGCCTTTGGGTTCAACCCTTGGTACTTAAAAAAAAAAAAGAGGGGATTTGGGGTGAGGAAATTCTTATTTCCCTACAAGATTTAAATGAATTAAATAACTTTTGCCATAGAGGGCATTCTTCCAGAAAGCAGGTATCTTTTTTTCTTCAAGTATGGATCTATGTATTTACAGGTTATTCCTTGATAATGTTTTTTTTTTTTTTCATTCTTGAAACAGAGCAATAAAACAAAAGAAGCCAGCCTTCCTCTTCCCTATAGTTCCATTAAGCTTCGTCTTCATCTATCAGTATGACTTGGGCTATGGTACTCTTCTACAAAGAATGAAAGGTAAGTCTCTCAGCAATTCAGGAGGCTAAGACAGGAGGATCACAAGATTGAGGTTAACTGCAGCAATTCAGCAAGGCCCTAAGAGGCTTACCAAGACCTTGTCTCAAAATAAAAAATAAAAAAAGGGCTGTGGATGTACATCAGTGGTAAATCACCCCTGGGTTCAATCCCCAGTACATATCTACTTATTAAAACTTTCATTTTAGTGACATCCCAGTGGTAGCATAAGGTAAGTCATAGTGGGAGTATTTACACCATGGAAAACCTTAAATGCCAAGTCAAGGCTTAAATTTTTATTTTGTTGATCTTCTATATCAGGGGTTGGTCTAGCTCACTATTTTTGACAATAAAGTTTTACTGAAACAAATCTGTGCCTATTTATTTTTTCATTATCTGTGACTATTTTCTCATGACTATGAAATAGCTGAGTCATTGAAATGGAGACATTTGAACTCATAAGCCTAAATGTTTTACCCTTCAAGAAAGTTTGCCAACCCATAGTCTAGACTTCAGAAATAGATGAAAAAAAAAATTGCCAAATAACAGTAGTGATTAAGCTAAATTTTTGTATCTGTAGCCATTTTTTTTTTTTGGTCAGCTTTTTAGCTGCTGTGACTAAAAGATCTGACTGGAACAATTATAAAGAAAGAAAAGTTTATTGAGGGTTCACAGTATCAGAATTCTCAGTCCATAAAAGGCTGGCTCAATTCCTCAGGGCTTGAGGTGAAGCAGAACATCCTGGCAAAAGAGTGTGGGAGAGGGAAGCTGTTCACATGATGATCAGAAAGGAGAGAGAGAGAGAGAGAAAGAGAGAGAGAGAGAGAGAGAGAGAGAGAGAGAGAGAGAGAGAGAGAGAGAGAGAGAGAGAGAGATCTCTACTTGCCAAATACAAATATCTGCCCCAAAGCCATGTTCCAGTTCCTACTTCCTCCAGCCGTACCCCACTTGCCTTCAGTTACCACTAAATTAATGTCATCGGGGGATTAATTCATTGATTGGGTTAAAGCTCTTGTAACCCAATTATTTCTTCTCTGACCTTCTTGCCTTTTCTTACATGTGAGTTTTTGGGGGACACCTCACATCCAAACTATAACATTCTGCTCCTGACCCCCAAAAGCTCATATTCATCTAACAATGCAAAATACATTTAGTCTATTCCCCCTAGACTCAACAGTCCCGAGACTGCTCAAAGTTCAAGGCTAAAGTTTCTTCTGAGACTCAGGGAAAACTTGCATTATGGGTTCCTATAAAAATCAAAACAATTTACAAGTAACCAATATATAATGGTACAGAGTAAACATTTCCATTCAGAAAAGTAGGGGCCTAGAAAGAAGGGATAGGACCAAAGCAAGACTGAAAGACAGCTGGGGAAATAAGTCCGGTAATTCTGTGTCTGGCAACTGGAGCCATGTCATTATGATGTTCTCTCCAAAGGGCTTGTGTAGATCATCTTCTGTGGCCCTGTTTGTTGAAGCCCAAGTGGCCTTTCTGTTTGCTTGTCTCACCTCTATTCCTGCAGCTTACCCAAGATGACATCCCACATTACTGGCACTTCTTGGGGATCTCCACTGCAGCTTTGGGTTCCTCCTCAAATCTCCACACATTGCCCTCTCAGGGAGTGCTTGCAGGACTATGACCCTGCTGCACTTTGCCTGGCCTCCAAGGCCTTCCTCTGAAGTCTCAGTGGAAGCCTCCATAACCCCCTAACTCCAACATCCTGTAATCCTGCAGAATCAGCACCATGGGTTGATACCAAGGTCTGCCACCATCTCGAGCAGTAGCCAAGTCTCCAGGGACCTTGGCTACAGCAGCCTCTGAGTTCCTGGGTAGCTGAGCATGTTGAAAAAAACTTCCTAGGCCACCTTGTGCAAGAAAGGTATTCCACTGGTCTTATCTCAAGAGAATTTTTACTTTTTCTCCCTTGATCTTGAGATGGATGTAGTCTTACCAGCTCCTGAGATCCCCTCAAGCTTTCTCATTGTCTCTGGGCAAGGTCTCTAGCATTTCTTTAGTGGTAGTAAGATCTGCAATTTCCTTAGTCCCAGTTTTTCTCCTGCCTTTCAAGTCCAAGTTTTTCAAATCTTTCTGCTCTGATTTTTGCTCCAGATTATCATAGTAAATTTGGCTAAACAATGACGAGCCTGTGTCACCACCTGAGTGGTATGCTGTCTAGAAATATCTTCTGCCAGATTAGGAAGTCCATTGCTTTTGAAATCATCTTCCCAGAAAGTCTCTGGACATGGGCAAAATTCAGCCTACTTCTCAGTCAGACCATAACATGAATGGCCTCTACTCCAAATTTCAATAGTGTGTTCCTTTTCCTCTTGAGCCCTGTTTTCACTGTTCAGAGTCCTATTGGCATTCTGGTCTTCTGAGCTCCCACCAGAATTGTCCACTAACCTTTGCTTACAATAATATAAAGCATTTCCAGCTTGCACTGCTAACCATCTCAGTATTCCTCATACCAATTCCAAAAGGCTCCAAATGCTGATGAACCCCATGGTCAGGTTTGTCAGAGCAATGAACCCACTCTCGGGACCAATTTCTGTTTTATTCAGCTTTTTTGCTGCTGTGACTGAAAGACCTGACAAGAGCAATTTTAGAGAAAATTTTATTTATGGGCTCATGGTTTCAGAGGTCTCAATTCATAGACAGCAGACTCCATTCCTCAGGGCTTAAGGTGGACATTGGGGGCATGGCTTTAGGATATATATTTTGTATTTAGGGAGTAGAGTCTCTTGCTCTGCTTCTGATCATCATGTGAGCTGCTTCCCTCTGCCACACTCTTCTGCCATAATGTTTAGCTTCACCTTGAGCCCCAAGGAATGGAGTCTGCTATTAATAGATTGAGACCTCTGACACTGTGAGCCCTCAAATAAACTTTCCTTCCTCTAAAATTGTTCTTGTCAGCTCTTTCAGTCACAGCAGTGAAAAAGCTTACTAGCTCTTTTATATTGTGAGTAGTGTGAAAATGCAAGAAAATATTCTTCAAGTATTTAAAAACGATTATCTGATTTAGCAAAGTTGTTCACAACATTCTCAAATGAGTGAAGTTCCAATACAATCATCAATGTTTCACTTTTGTTCTACTCCTTAGTGTAAATGAAAACATCAATCATCATTCATGTTGAAATTATACTCTCTCATCAACTGCAAATATAGTTTAGTTATGGATTCAAGAGTTCCACAAAAATCAGCAAAAATATTCAGTGAGAATCAATTTGCTACATGAAATTTATGATCAAGAGTATTACATGTTTTATTATATGCTATATATATGTGAAATTTATAGTAAACAGTTTTATTTATTTATTTATTTATTTATTTATTTATTTTGAGAGCTGGTTGTTAAATACTCACTGCAATAACACTATTCTCACAGGATCCAGGCTCTTGCTACCTTAGAAGATGGTGCTGCTGCCAAAGAAGCCATTCCTGTTCTAGGGAGATAGGGTTGCCCATTAGTCTAGGACATAAATGTCTCCCAAATTCCTACCACTTCTCTGAGATTCACACTCTAATAAAGATTCCTGTGTCCCTTCTTATTAATCCTTCAATACAGAGCACATTGAACATGTGCTTTACCAATCTGTGTTGTCCTGGGCCATGAGCCTATCATCGTTCTATTATACTGGTTAGGTATGGCAAAGGAAGAGTTCTACACTCCTCTCCAGGTTTGGGAGTAAAGAGCAGAACATTTCATTCCCAGGCCTAGGGATATGGAGAGGTTCTTTAAAATTTCCATTTGAAAATGGAAATGCATTTTCCACATAGAAAAAATGTTCATTTAGACTCAGGTACTATTGGTATCGTGGTTTAGCTGTATTGTGGGCTAAATAGTTTTTGTGGATAGCCTTGAAATTGATTGATAGCATTACTACTGTGTTGCATTCTGAGTTCCAAAAACACTAATTTATAAATTAACTTTTAGAATATAAACTCATTTTAAGATGGAAACAGTACACAACTTATTTACAAATATTAAATTTCATGTCCATCGCCTGCACAGTTTCATATTACTCATCTGCTTAAGAATTCATTAGTCTATGCTCAAAAATGCCTATTTACATGGAGAATAGAATTCTTAGTGTCTTGTAAAGGATGATATGTAATATTAAGGAATATCAATTCCACTGTATAGCATTCACTTGAACATATTATTAAAGGAAAGCAAGTTTTTTTTTTCTAGAAACATTTGATTATCTGTTTGGAAATTAATTCTATCAATCAAAAATTTAAAATTTCAAGGCAAATTATGTGAGTTTCCTTTAAAAACATTACAGCTTTAGAATCCATCAGGAAACATCACAATAGAAAGTTGAGATTATGTATTTTCCCCTGCTAATAGTGATGATTGTAAAATATGCAATTCCTGCCTGACTGATCTTACATGGAAAACATCTAGTCTTTCCTCAAAGGCCAACTATTTATATATAATTTTATTATTATTTTTACTTGGTATTTAAAATTGAGGCAAAAAAGATGTTTGAAGATAGTTAAAATGTTCTTATAATTTGAAAATTGTAGCCTGCTTCATGGGTTTGGAGTACAATTAAGAAATGATAAATGAGTAAGGTCATGGATATGCTAAGTACCATGATTTTAAAATATACAATGTATAAATGAATACAAACATCAACCTATGCCCCTAAGTATGTACTTATAAATTGTCAATAGAAATTAATTAATTAATTAAATAGTGTATTAAAAGAGGAGTACGTATAACAAGCAGTTATCTTCATTCATATGCAGGGTTATAGAATATCAACAACAAATTCTTAAAATTTCTTGTTAATTGTTTTCAGTAATAAAAGCAAATGTCACTGGGCCCAAGAAATTACTACATTGTTTAGTTCTTGTTTGAAAGAGGAATTATTTATAAAAAAGGTATGTACACCAGGCACAGTGGCACATGTCTATAATCCCAGAAGCTTGGGCAGCTGAGGCAGGAGGATCGCAAGTTCAAAGCCAGCCTCAGCAACTTAGTGAGGTCTTAAGAAACTTAGTAAGACCCTGTCTCAAAAAAAAAAATGTCTGGGAATGTATAAAAATAATGTAAATGTGTGTGTATGCATGTTTACAGACTACGGAATATTTAGTATTATTTTGGGTGTTTGTGAGTGATTTCAGGTCAAAACATACCTTTCTTGAAAAATTTTTAGTAGAATTGACTTTCTTTCCTGTCACTTCATTTATATTAAGGGACAATAGGAATGACTGTAATTTCTGCATCTCATTTCATCGTAAAATGGAGAAATAACATAGAGTTCAGACACAATTAATACTGATGATCCTGACTTTGGTTCAAGGAAAGAAATATTGCTCATCTTCGTGTTCTTTCTCCTCTCATTTTCAAATGCTGTCTTGTTTCAAAAAAAATTCTGGTGTCTGATTGGTCTACAAGTTTCAGAATTCATCATTGTGTTTTCTCTGGTATGCACTAGTGCATTGTATTACTTCTGAGGAAAATGGGTGAAAAGTTTAACTGTGGGATATGAGGACATGGCCCCATATGGTGTTACAGCTTGTCATAGGAACACAGCAATCAGGCCATCTCACAACATGCTGATGACCACTTTGTCACCTTGCATATATCTACCTGTGCTTTGTTTAAGGTGAAGCTGAGGACATACTAGAAACAGAAAAGAGTATGCTGCAGCTGCCAAAAGGAATGATCACCTTTGAAAGCCTTGAAAAAGCCAGAAGGGAACAGAGTAAATTTCTCATGGACAAATGAAGCAGGGTTTACCCACTGACTCTCAAAGCACAGAATTGTTGGCTTGAATCATGGTTTTTCATAATTTTTTAAAATGCTCAAGATTTTGATATAATGGATTTTATTTTGAAATAATAAAATGCAAGATGAATTTTGTTGAAATATTTTAAAATAAAGTTTATAACATTCAACACAAAATCATGGGGGTACTCCAAAAAATTTTACATTTCATATATATGTGTGTTTTATAATTGTCTAAATAAAAAAATAATAAATTATACTGCCTGGAAGCAAATATCCTACTGCTTACATTTTTTTTGGCACATAAACACTCTGCATCACATTCAACTGTTAAAGGTGATTCTTTTGTTTCAATTTATCAATAGTGCCCTGTTCCCATATAATAGCAAACAACCAATATCAATGACTAACATGTATACTGAACTTGCTATGGAGAGACTGTTTGGAGTGTTGTGTACATGTTCTTGTAATCATCCTAGTAAGTCCATGAGGTATCATTTTATGAATGTTGGAACTGGGGCAAAAAGAAGTGAAATTACTTGCTCAAGGTCATACATGGGTAGAGTTTGGATTTGAACCTCAATAGTTTGGCTACACTGTTTGTATTGGAAAAAACCTTGACATAGTTAGGTCTTATATTGAACATGCAGAGAAGTGCTATGAAACACAAAATGTGGCAACATTCAAATAATGATTCAGAACATAGTTGAGAGAGGTAGAAGGAGGTTGATTGGAATGCTTACCTTTTAAATTTATTTTAATTAGCTATACATAACAGTAGAATGCATTTATGCACTTTGATGTACATGGATGGAATATACTTTCTCATTTTTTGATTGTACATGTTATAGAATCACATTGGTTAATTTGGATTTACTAGGGAACCTATACTTCTATTTGTACTATTCCTTCAGATGTATACCCTGCATATTACTCTCATTCCAATCGTATTTATTGAAGGCTACTGTGTGACCGGCACTGTAGTATGCATTGGAGCTATATCAGTGAAGAATAAGAGAACCCCACATCCTGGTTATATGAGTAAGTTCTGGAAAGGGGTGGGAGAACAAGGGAGGGCAGCAAACTAACATGAGATAAACAATGTTATTTTTTGTGGTGGTGAATGCTTCAAAGGAAATGGAACCAGATGCTAAGAGAATGATTGGGAGCATAGGGTAGGGCTTCTTTAGATCTGGAACTGCAGACACTGTGTCTCTGAAGTGGTGACATTTGAACTGTGACCCGAATGATGACTAAGCCAGTCTGTGAAGAGCAGAGCAGGGTGTGGGGTCAGAGAAGGCATCTCTAGGCAAAGAGAAGAGCTATAGGAAAGGCTCTGAGACTCCATATGTCAAAAGAATGAAAGAAAGTCAGGGAGAGTAGCAAGTGATGAAATCTGAGGGTGGGAGCAAGTGTGAATGTGATGAGGACCCTATCTTTAAGGAGCTGATGACACATCAATGTTCTTGCAATTACAATTATGTTGTAATTGTAAGAGAACTTTAGGCCAAGTCTCAAAAGATGCATATACATTCTCCACAAAGAAAAAGAAAGTAGGATGAATGGGATCTCAGGAAAAGGAGCTTGAATAAGTGCAGGACCACGTGTGCAAAACTCAAAGGATCATTCTGCTGTCTGGGGCAAGTGACTTTTCAGCTGGGAAACTTTGTGTGTGTGTGTGTGTGTGTGTGTGTGTGTGTGTGT